GCGATTATCTGACGCAAGACGCGAAGGTATGGCAGCGGTGGATGTCCGGCATACATTTTGGCGAATGATTTAAGCTGACATATTCGCGGAGGATTTGTGCATCACCAGGTCGATCCTTCAATCCCAAAAGTGAATTTCCCTAAACGAGAAATATTTGTCTGCACAAATATTTTTTCGGCATGGCAAAATTATACTGTTTCTAGACGCATCAATAAAAATCGTTGAATCACAGATAATCGTCAATCACCTACGAAACTCCTTTGCGAAGCGAAAGATGATATTTCCATCCGGATTGAGAAGGCCAGAGCAGCTTTTGCTAACCTACGTCATCTGTGGCGTAGGCGTGACATCAGCTTTGTCAAGGGTCGAATTTGCAAGGCTGCGGTGCGCTCCATGTCGCTATATGGATCAGAAACCTGGCCGCTACGCGCCGAGGACGTCAAAAGACTTTCAGTGTTTGACCATCGATATCTTCGGAGCATTGCTCGAATCTGGTGGGAAAACCGGATCAGCAATTCTGAAGTGCGTCGAATGGAATTCGTAAAAAAAAGACTAACCATCGATAGATGAACTCATCACAGTGCATAGGTTGCGCTGGCTTGGCCATGTGCTGTGTATGCCAGTCGACCGACTTCCTAGAAGGGTTCTTTTCGCACAACCACGTGAAGGGTGGAAGAGAGCCAGAGGCAGTCAAACAATGACTTGGCAGCGAAGTGTGAAAGCCATTACCAGCTAATTCAGCTGCGCTGGTCATTGCCGTCCTCCTGGATGGGAACCCCGAGACGGGCCACATCAATGGCTAGAGACATTGTCAGAAGTGGCCCAGTCGCACCCTGAATGGCGCTCGTGCATCCAGGCTATTGCCTTCAATGCATAGCTCCTTTTCAAACCCCCTACTTGGCAACCCACTGAAAGTGCTGGATTTATGCACCAATTTATCATCTCCCGCCTGCAATCCGCAGCTACCTACCCCTCCCATCAAATCATCGGTGAACGAAACTGCGGCAGTTACAACCACTGTACGACGAGTACGCGGTTATTACAGCTGATAATGATGATGATGATGATGAATAGTCACAACAAATCCACAAATATGGAGGGGGTTCCTCAACATTTGAAAATTCACCCCAGAATTGTTTCCGCATTTTTCTCGAATTTCGGTCGGCCACTAGTCATTTCGGATGATGGCGAATTGAGTTTTACAGACACAGACGAATAGCAGACAGAAAATCCTGAAGACATTCGACATGATGCTTCGTAGACTTGTGAGAGCTAGGCAACCAGTACAACCAGTGCTGGGGGATCTTGCTAGGCAGTCGATCATGGGAAAGCTAAAAATTCACACCCCGTGAGTTTGTATGTGAACATTCAAATTTCTGCCACCTCAAAAAGAACCAATCGTCATTTTATATGGATACGAAATGTTATACGCGAATGGAAACTCAAAACGTGCGCATTATTCCCTTTGTTCAAATTGGGTAATTCTCTAGGACTCTCACATTTGTACTTTGGTTGAACCTAGCGGAGCGCGTGTGAACTTCTTTCCGTTCAAAACAACATGGCATCATTATTATTACTTTCATTGCTCACATTCACGCGAGAAATTATGAATAACATGCGTGAAATTCGTCGAATTTAAGCATCTGGTCAGGCTTTTGAATCAGTGGAAAGAAACCAAAAGAACAGGGATGTCTGTATCGAATGATGTTTGGCCAGTTTCCCGGTTTTGTCGTCTTATCAGCGGCATTCTGGCGCAAAGATTTCACCTTTCCAAAACACATTTTTCTTTTAACTAGAGTATTTTGCGCTATATCCATATTTCTACCAGTCCAAGTAATCGTGTGCCCTCGACAACCAGAACGTTCGACCAAGCGAGAAAGTTTCTTTCTGCTACCAAAATTGTCCTCCGTTGCATTGCTAGCTAGCGATGTGCGAGGTCGAAATGCTGCACTGAGTTTCCCACCAATGTCTTCCGGGTGCTGTGCGCGCAACATCCACTGCTCGAAACCGACCTCTTGGCCAAATCGTCGGCTGCTCTGGTGACTGAACTGGTTGTTGTGAGCGTGATATTTGAACATGATCCCCAGCCGTCCGAACTCTCATCACTACTGGTCACCTGATAGTCATCCACTTGAAACGTATCCCATTCATTCGGGTCAAGCTGAAAAATAAAACAATATTCCAGTCGATGCGGGTAGTATCGGAATCTCAAAAACCGTTGGTTGTGCATTAGGAAGGTTAATGAAAGTTACACATACATTTGCAAGATAGGCCAATTTGTGGCGATCAGTAGTACGAGCGGTAACATTCGTGAGGAGGCTAGGTGATATTTTCCACGGACCGTGGACCACGTGTTCCAGCAATCGTCGGTCGTGCCCGCGGGGAAAATGGTACTCTTCTGTGGTCAGAAAAATGCATTTCCCAAACCGGTCGTAATACGCCTACTGGCTTCCCTCACATTTGGACGCCGATGACCGTCAAGCGGGAATTAGATGTGATAGAGAGTAATTGATTACATGCCTATATTATGCCGAGTGCCTCAGAAGCACAGCAAACCAAAATCCGTGGTCTCAGACTAGGCGTATAGATTGTTCTGAAATATTCTTGGCCAGGGAGATGTGTCGATGAATCCTGTTTTTGTTTTATGTGGCTCACCTGGGACACAGCTGAATCTCTCATTTGTGATGTTCTCAGGCAACTGAATGTGTTGCACCAGGCTGCCTCATGTTTCAATCACTACGATATTCGAGATATCGTTCGTGATGTATATCTTTGTAATGTACTACTCATAAGGTTGCTGAAACTCCACTGACAGCTCACGACCGGTTTCGCCCTTTTTGGGGCTCATCAGGTAGGCACAGTCCCCGGGTTTCCGTCAACCTTATGTTCCGCTTGAAACAAAATTGCACGAAAGTAGAGAATATATATTCATTTGCAAACTAATTTGGTTTTCCGAGAGACTCACCTGGAACCCGGCTGAATCTCTAATTTGTGATGTTCTCAGGCAACTGATTACTTGTTACTTCGAAAATGGCCTAAGGTGAACCTCGACCAGGAAGAGGAAGCTAATGTATAAGTGGACGATGCATTTTCTTGTCCTGGTGGTCCATTGAAATACCCCGGTGGGATGAAATCAACATGGGGTCAGCCACTCTTTCCATAGTAGTCCTTATATAGAATATATCGCCGAAAGGACGCTCGCCCAAAATAAGAACTATGTGAATGTCCCCTGTGATCAGAGAAGAAACGGCCACGCATCTATAACGTTCGGCGGAGCGGTCGAACAGGGGCAGCAGCCTTATAGACTTGTAGATTTCGGTAAGCATTATCTGTCGAGTGAAAAAGACGTCGATTCTGTGGACTTGTATTACCGATTTTTACAACAAAATGAGTATTCTACCTTCTTTCTACCGTAGCGGTTTGGCGGAACCTGACCACTTCCATCAGCATGTATGAACTGAAACAAACAGCAGCAGTTTTGCCTGTATTCATTCCGGTTACCTTTTGTTTAAACGGATTAAATTTATGGCGCATGCAAAGTCCTAATAAACCGATACGGAGTTGGACAACAAGCAGTGGCTACTGACATTATTATAAGTAGTGTTGTCATAACGTATGCTAAGTTCGCCGAAACCAGGCAGATTTTATCTTTACATGAAGCAGTTTTTCAGCATCCTAAGAAGTTCATCTACGAATGACGGTGTGAAACTGCTAGACGAATTCACTCGGTCTTAAAATTCCCTTGGAAAGTAGAAATACTTCATTACACAAGTTACGAATGATTTGTTTGCTGATGTGACAAACAAATTGACATTCAGTGTGTAGTTCTGGTCCTGATCATGTCCCCAAGCACATCTGTCGATCATAGTCTAAGCTGATGGCTTGTAGAATCGGTCGGCAAATATAGCCTAATGATTAAGCACACGTGATTTGCTGAACAGCCCCACAGCTGTCAATGCCAAAGGGTCTTTATTATTTTGATATCCTCAGTATAATTGTAGCCTGAGCCACACACCTAAAATGACACCAAAATAACCTCGATGTAAATAATGCCAAAAACGGAAGCTTCTCATTAGAAACCTGACTTAATCCTTATTCATACAGGCTCGTATCGATAACAAGCATAAAATTTTCGAAAAAGTTTGGTGACAATCGGAAAACGGAAGCATTAGAAACCTGACTTAATCCTTATTCATACAGGCTCGTATCGATAACAAGCATAAAATTTTCGAAAAAGTTTGGTGACGTGACATAGATTTATTGCTGGGCAACGTTTCGCTTTTGATACAAAAGTTTCTTCAGGCCAAGTGACTAGGCTCCGAGGTTGGTCGAGATTCAATAAGGCGAAAGGAGAACCGATCAGCTAAGTCAAGCTAAACCTCTGTTGGGTGTCGGTCGAGAGATTTTAGTGTGTTAGAGTGGTTGAACAAGTGTTGCGTCGGTGGCGAAACCTATATGTGTTTGGGTCCAGCCTAGGGTCTAGTTCTTCTGTTTCGGTTCATTTGATGGTCGCTCTTGAACTTCGTTTGAACCTTCTGTCCGTCTGTGTGGATGAGCTAATGGTAAGATAGTTGTGTGAGAGGGATGTTGTGACCTTTGGTCGGGTTTTTGTTAATGATTCTATGTAAATTGACAACCATACGTCACCTGTCAACTCGGCTTATCTAAGACCGCTTTCCATACGCTCGCCAGTTCCACACCCTCGATTCTATTCACACTGTGATGCTTATTAATTTCCACCGCCCGGGCTATCAACCGCTGTGGTGCGAATCGCAGTCCCCGTCTTAGAACTTCCACAAGTATAAACCTTAGTAAGTGTAATGAGTGTGCAATCACGTCATACTACTTACACGGAAAGAAATAGTTTGTATGACAAGCAAATTACTTTGTAGCAAAATACACTCATCTATAAATTGTGTTAGCGAGAGGCTCGGGTGAATGCCAACGTAATTTGTGCAATATACTGGTTTTCAGAACGTCAAAAAAGAAACATTCGGAATCCGAGACTCATCAGGATTCACGTTATGGCTTTACCACGAAGCAGTATCGATGTAATTTTCTCAAAAGCTCTGATCCAGAACCCAGCAGAGTGTAAATCAGTGCGCTCATTTCCTGAAGAAATTGTCTATTAACACGCATAGCTTTGCGCTATTTAGTTAGGGACTGGTCGTCCAGAATACTCAGCTAACTCCACTTCCACGGGTAGGCTTACGGACGAGAAAACAAGTAGTACAACTTGATTGTGCCTTTTTCACGGGAAGAAAGAAAGAAATGCCAAGCGGACTATCATGAAAACGATCAAGGGTATCCTATAATAGAGTGTTCGCTGGTCCGGAGCTTGTGAACAAAAACACTTCTACCAGGATACTTCAGGTGGCCAGACTTTAACTTCAGAAACTATACGAGAGACAGGTCTTCTAGGAATTATGCAAAGTGAGCTGAAAGTATTTGGTAGTTCCGGCAATTCTGCGTACCGAGGTTTTCAATAAAGCTCATCCTGTATCCATGGAGCGCGGACCGTCATAAGTGCAGTCAGCTGGCAAGTTACCATAGCGACAGAGTTGTGCTATTCATCATCTGGAAACCAATTAGGTAAAAAAAAACCTTACAAAGACAGAAAGGATTATTGTTGCTCATTGTGCAACTGGGTTTAACTCGTCCTACCCGTATGAATGATTTGGCCAACCAAATCGATAAGAAAGTCATTCTGAAGGATGGATGAAAACTCACCGAAAAGTTAGGGTGTACAAAGTCCTTTCTTCGTTTGAGTTCGTTTAATTTGCCCAAAATTTCCTCCTCCTAGAGCATGCAGAATCAGGTAAGAGTTGTGTGATGAATAAACGAGCGTGTCAACGGAGGTTTGCTAAAAAAAAGGTACATTATCCGAAATGTTGTCAGCCTGCTTCGTTTGTGTACTGAAATACTACGTTGGAATTCAAGATGATCCAAACTGCAAATTCAACTGGACCTCACTTATGGTATTGTTCATCAAACTCGTAAGCAGTAACATGTCAAAAAAGACGCATTAACACATTGTGTATGAGGTGGTCTTTGCAACACAGTGGAGAATACCGCAAGTAATATTTTCGCCGTTAGCACCTCCTCAGTCCACAAATAAATGATAGTCACTGCATACGTTGGAAATGAAATGAAATCGATAGAAATGTAGGAACTACTTATAAGGGGTGAGCCAAAAAATGCGAAACGGGTGGTGGGCTGTGTGGGAGTTTTTTCTCGACCATGTCATGTCAGAGGACCTTAACAAGCTTGTGCTGTGAACCATCATTCGCGGACTTCTGTCTTAATTCGTACCAGGCCATTTGAAAGCGTTTTATCATCGATGCTCCCCTCCATAAGTAATTTGAAGACAACACGAGACCTCCTGAGGATAGAAGTGCTGTCCAAACAATGAGTTTCCTCTCGAATGTGTGTTAGATTAAGCATTTCTGGCTATCTGTGAAGTTCGTGTACTTTAACTCTCACATCATCCGCTTCGCAAATGAACTCAGGACCCACCTCATACAATACCGTAACCAGGCTTTTGAAATTGATCGTTATCTGCTTATGTGACGCGTTTTTGTTCGTTTTGTTGTGTAAGCTGAGTCATTCCATGCTAAAAAGCCGAGAAGTACCGCAAATTCGGTTAATCTCTATCGGCAATTATCAGCAGTACGAACCTCATAAAAATTCACGGGGCCCCGAACTCGCGATCTGACGGCCAGTAGTTTGATCAACAGTGTGACCGACTCGCACGTAGACGGGGCGTAGAGTCTCTCATCCTTCATTCACGGGATCTACATCACGTGGGCACACATCACACATTGGTTTCCCCAGCAAAGACTTCTCGGATGGAAGTTACATTCATCCTAGCAAGATTTTGCTGTGTCCTGATAAACGAAAACCTTCTCCTGAATGTGTACCGCGGTGTTTTAAGAGAAACTTAACAACCGTCTCTTATCGTCGAAGTTTCTCAACACAAGTGATCTAAATGCAACACTAGATATCAAAGTCTGAGGGTAGGAGGGCTGCCCCACAAATGATTTCCTGAACGGGCGTATGTCAGCAGTTGCATCCATGAGCGCCTAAGGAACCTGTGCACTTTGACTCCTACGTATCCTGGTTTGAATTGGCCGTTCTCCAATAGCAGATCCTACAAATATTCACGGCGAAAACCTCATAATCAGACTGGAAGTGAGTTGGGATCGTTGAATTAAGTCGCTGTACGATTTTGCTAGTGGTTGTTGGCTATTGGTTAGTAGTATCAGTTACTACTCATAAATAGCTCCGCAAAATGTAAGCAACCGAGATCCAAGAGTGAAACGATGGCGAGATGAACCTTGACTCATCTTCTGCTTCGCAATAATGAGAAGATTGCAGAAGTCTGGTGTTTGCAAATGATGCTGCCCACAGTTATGCGATTCCGCGTGCTAACAACTCTCAGATTTCGTCACATCTCACATTCGATCATTTCCGGTCTCGAAAGTCACGAATAGGTAACCACTTAACTCCTCGCTCTCCAATCGCTATCCGATAACAATTAGCTTTTCAGTAAACGGAGTACAGAACAGCCTGTACTCTTCCTCATCGCTGGAAATGCCACACTTGGCATCACCATGACTGTCCACTGTAAAACCCCCCACCGGCCCTACCTGATGAAAGAATCTCGTCCGCAAATTGCTCAAGCAAGGATTTGATCAAGTTCCGCAGGCTTGGAAACAAAGTTTTCAGCGATATTCTTGTGTATAGAGCGATAATGACCAGACGTTGTTCCACTTATTTTACTGGTAATAAATCAATACGTGGTACGCCTCAGATCCTGTAGTGTGAGGTCATTGCTTGTTAGTAGGGCTAATGTGCCCGCAGAAATTAAGCTACGCGTGATATCAGCTACTTTGTATCTCTACAGTGACTTTCGGCAAAATATGGACAATATTATGTCCGCTTTATTCAATTCTATAGAATAAAGCTTATCCACGGAAAGTTTAAAGTGTTAGCAAGTGTGGGAATTTCAATCTTACTTTCGTCCTAAAAGAGCAGTCAACCTAGGCGATAAGGCTTCTCCATCCTCACTGGGAATCATCAGTGGCAAGCATCTTCCACCAAGTAGCTTAGAAGGAGAAATAATTCAATAGTCCCGTGAACTTTCTCTGTGAGATGTCGCCACTCGAAATCATCACTTAGTGTGAATTCTGTGATTGAAGGGTGAGTGGTACTACATCCTGTCCAAGTGCCAGACTGCTGATCAGCCACTCGCGGACAAGTGGTTCAGTCCTCAAGTACCAGCCGAGAGGTCGCGCATTTGGATCACCTGGAGTTTCATGACATACGTACTGCTAGGAATTCCAAACAAGGGTAAAACCGCTGTAGGGTACTTCTTGGGCTTTTGGTATAGACTGACTTCAGTTGTGAGATGAAATGTCGACTGAAATTTCGAAGTAAAAAAAACCGGTCTAGAGAGTGACTGAGGCTTGTCAAACGATCTAACTTGCCATTAGTTGCCACAAGTGACACTCAGGCACAGTGGCTCAAAAGATGTCTTAATTCGGGAGACTGTTGAAGCTGCTGAAGCTCCGAGGGTGATTCCCGATGGGTTCCATATGACGATGACAATCTACTAAGGTGTAAAGGACGGGTGGGAGCGACCGTGTTTCGAACTTCCGATCCGACCACTCCTGATTTCTCTGTTCGAATCGACTGACTCATTTTCTTACTACTTTTAAGCGCATTTTTAGCGTTTCGGAACTGACAAGCCACATCATCACACCGACGAGTAGCCTTGTAAGTCGACAACGTATGCCAAAGTGCAGTACACTTAACCTGTTCACCTACGATGTGACCTGTCATAGATCAAGTTATCGAAGTGTACTCTCAGCTAGCCAATTTTGGCAATCTCGATCTTTGATTTAAAGGTAAACCAAACATAAAGAGTGTCGGGGCAAAGTGATTTCCTTACGAGAAGAAAAAAATAGGGAAAATGGAACATCGAAGATTTCTTCCAACTGCGCCTACTGTAGGGGACTTTTCAAAAAATATCATCCCAAGTCCTGGAAAACCGAGCCGATAGGTTTCCGGAATCAACGCATTTGCGAGGTGCAGCACCAATGCAGTATGAAATTGACTAAACCAATTTATTCAAACACTGAGGCGGACTGCCTCTTTAAATTTCAACTCGAAGAATTCATCGTTCTACTTGCAAAGCAGTGGACTTAATCATATCACTACTTACGGTGACCGGCTTCAAATAGGTGTCCTTAAGTTCACGCTGTAGATCACCAAGTTTTCCATTGTAAAATATTTCAAAATTGGTGAGAATAAAGGACGCGAAGCGCTTCTGAGATACCGGGTCATCTGTGGGGAAGATCAAACACCAGTCGCCGCAATTGTGATACTCGAAAAATTCTTGTGCAAGCCGACGGCGCACGCTCATCAACTGAACGCACTAAAGAGGGGATTCAAATAAAGAATTCTGACGTTTAAAATTCGTTTTTTTTGGAGAACAGACTCATTGGCAGTATATGCTCAAAGCCTTTAGGTCAATAAAAGCCTGAGTGGATGGACAGTGGGAAAAAACGTAGTTTGTTCTACATATGGAAAGTTAACTATTAGCTTGAACTTACTGGAATGGTTAGGAAGCAATTCCTATAGTGGAACTTCAGAAGCTTCCCCACAAAAGGCATTGTCGTCAGCTGCTCACTAAACTGCTGTTGGAGGATAACGACTACCGTGAATACATGGCTCGTCTAACAGTCACAGATAAACTAACGAAAATCCCACGCAATTTAACGGTGTAATTGTAAAAATTAGCGGTAGTAAATATATTTTGGTGACTGCCGCAAACAAAGTGTTTGAAGCAAACAACTTATATACAAATATAGGGAAAAATGGTATCCGCATCAAACACGTCACGGTGTGTGCACGAGGATTGTGTGCAGGCTTGTAGGTTACCCCATTTGTCATCATGAATCCAGGAAGCACAACAGCAGGAAACAGTCAATTATCGGCAGCTGCTTAATGATCAACCGCTATCAATCAGGCGACATTAAAAGGTGCGGTTCCATTCAGTTAAACAGCTATAAACCACTTAACAAGTTGCAGCTGCTACGATTTCGGTCACGAAAGGGTGGGAGTGTGGGGAAGACAGCCTAGCATTTAAGATGATGGCATAATCAGTTAACTCGGGAGACTGGGTGGCTACGCATTGGAGGTGGTAGCTCTGATGCACGTGATTACGTGATCTGGACATGCCTTCCAAAGCCACTAAACTGATGTGTGGTGTTCGAGATCCCCAGCAAGGGCGGCAGCGACAGTTGTCCACCAGACTGAGTTTACAGGTTAGTGTTTCCATACTTCGCCGATAAGTTATACACTGTCCAACGCTCACCCGTTCCCACTAAGCCCAGTGCTTGGCGTAAATAATTCAGCGTGGCACAGTATCCTGACACGCGGACTATATGTCCTAACCTACAATCATTGTGACAGTTCCTTTATCCCGAGACCATCTGGCGTATTTCAGCATCGCCCATCCGATGTTCCCAGCAATGATTCAGGGACACCGATGGTCAAACACTGGACGTTTGCGTACGTCCTCGTTTCCGATCCACAAAGTGGTATGGAACGCACCATCGCGTTGTACCTCTGCCCCTGATAGACGAAATGACGTCACCAAGGGGTCAAAGGTGACTAAAATTGACAAACGTTGTCCTGCCCTTCCCGATTCGAAGAGTAACCTCATCTCCAACTAGTGCACCGTAACCTACCACATCGATTGGCTCGTCTAAAAGAGTATTTGATTTCCACTAGGTCCCGTAGCAACACTTTACCTTTTGCACACGTGAAGCGCACACAAAACAGTACGGCGAAACTAATTTGGTTGTTTAAACTGGTTTGAATTTTTGAGGGTCTTGAACCAAGGGGAACAATGTCGTCCGCATAGTAAATATCCCTAAGCAACTTGTCTTGGGAGCATCTGGACACCCAAGGTTTCAGAGGCGGACAGAAAAATTTCAAACAGTACATCGGTAACAAAGTTGAAGAGGGAAGGTGAGACGGGTCACTTTTGCCTTACAACAAGACGTGGTGAACTCAGGCAGAGACCCAGAGGAATTCGCATACAGTGCCGTCCGAAGGAATATACATTTGGGAGGAACACCTTTGATTGCCAGGTTAGGCCAAAGTTTCTCACGACCGACAACACAAATGCAGCTTTCAGATAAGAAAAACGACCAAAATGGGACGTTGGAAAGAGGGGCACTGCTCAAGAAACTTGTGTCAGAAAACAGTATGATCGATGCATCCTTGGCCTCGGAGAAACGCAGCTTGGTTCTCACAAGTGTGCCTGTGGCGATGCTCGGCTGATTTGCGCAAAATAATGCCAGAGAACACCTTGGATCTGACAGCTATCAGGCTCAGGCCCCTATGGTTTTCTCATAACGCTCTTGTGTCTTTTCTAGAGACTGGGATAACGATCAAGGTACTCCATTCCATGGGTATTCTGCTTTCGTTCTAAATCTTCTGTGGTGTTCACCAGAACTTCACCACATTCTTTGAAGAGTGCGCAAGGCTGCGGAATATCTGGGCTGGGTGCCTTGTTGCGTTTAGGGAATGATATCCAGCTCTGTACTTATGTTGTTGAATGCCGCCTAATGCCACTAATCCATTGAAGTTATTTGAATATTGCTTCGCTGGCACCTGTATTCTTGTGACTGGTTGATCAAATCAGCTGAAATATGGCGGAGCTGTTGCCTGCAGCAAATACCTCCACCTCCTGGGTCTTCGTTCTCTGTTATTCTTCAGCCTCTTCATTATCCGGTGTTTGAGGGATCTGCATTTGCCATCATAGACATCAGTTGCTGGAATGAATTGTTTTGGAAGCAATCAGGTCTGGACGACATCCAGTGTTCACTTATTGGAGTCGAAGGGCTTAGTCTGAAAGCTGAGAGCAGAGCTTTTTCAGCTCGTTTCCATTCAACCTCCGAACAGTCTTCGTCATCAACATGACGGCGAGCTCCCAGTAGCTTCCAAACCAGATGAGCTCAACACTCCTGAGTTACCGAAATCTGTCTATTTTGACAAAGTTGTTCTGTTTCAGAACACACATTACTGATGGAAAGCGAAGAGTTAACCGGACCAATTCAATGGCATGTTTCAGATCAGGTCCCGTATTCCGCCGGAGGGAGCAACAATCGGCAGCTGACAGCCAAACGATCCAACTGAATCTATGACTGGCTTCCGGTTGGTAGCCCCCCAATAAAGTGATGCTGAAAGTCCCCTGTGGTCTAAAACAGACGAGGATTGTCGTTCCCCATTATCCCTACGCTGACCACCGAATAAAAATCTACTAAATTGATCGTGCTACTTCTGGGTGTCCATGCCACTCACTAGAACGGCTGTATCTATTCTTCTTGCTGACCGAATCAGTCATTAAATATCTCGGTGAAAACCCGTCTGTATCGATTCGGGACAACAGTCTGATGGGGTAAATTGTGATGCAACAAGTAAACGCGGTTGACCGCATCCGACTGCACTGACCTCAACTGAACCAGACCACCGTACAACGCAGTCCAGGAAAACGCTTTCAGTCTTTGGGCTTAGTGCAACTTCCACACCGTAGATACCACAAGGTAAGGCTTCAGGATCACCAGATATCCGAAGAGTGAAATGCGAAACATTTGAGCTCCTGTTAAGCGGTTTGAGGTGCAGACCGAAGTGTCGTCTTGTATGCGCATTACAGAGACACGACGTACATCGACATTGAGGGAAGGCAGGGTTTCATAAAGGGAAGCCTAGTGTCCAGTTTGACAAAGAGTACGGACATTGAAAGGGTTCAACGTGGATCAGATCTTTGTAGATCAGAAAGGGGTTTTGATTATTCCTTCTGGATAATAGGTTGTAAACTGAACGATGGCCGGGACAAAACCAGATGAGCTGACTGCAATGCATCCTTCGATGGGTGCGTGTATGACGTGGGAAGAGGGACAGTGAGCGAAAAGCTGTAATGGCAGGTGATACCACCCGCTTACTAACGTCAAAGAAGGTGATTTGATTGAGTTACTTTAAACGGAGCGTTAAACTCAAAACTCCGACTCAAAATAAAGTGGGAGAATTAATGGTTCTGTTCGGCTACCTGCCCCGGTTGAAAAGTCCGCACTGCGAGGGAGCGATTGTTATGGCTTCCTTGAGGAGTCCTTTCTAGAGCCAACGAGTCAATAGTCTGACCCACTTGGTTGCAAGGGGCTGGACTGGTCTGACGGCAGAGGAAGTGACACATTGCTGCTTGACTACTAATGCGGCTGAGCCCAACAGGTACCCTCTGTACAGTACCAGACACGTCGGTCATAATAGTATTCCAAATGTATCGAATAACGCACCGACAGTCACGTTTAACCCTTGGGCGATTGGAGTGTGCGGTTTCCTACTTCAACGTTTTCTAACCCATCCTTCTTCCGAGGAAGGCAGCATCGCTGCTTCCATAAGTCTGAACACGCTGGTAGCCTTAGGAAAGCACAGTACTGCCTTGACACCCCTATCGCGTGCGGTTGTACGACCTTATTGAAGTTCCTCGCGAAACGACTACTCGCTGTTCTTCATCAGGCTGCTCCCCGTTGGCCTCGCTGAACCCTAAGAAGCTGAGTCCCAGCCAATTAGGCCAGTAGCAATGAAATTCCACCATGAGACAACGTTACAGCTTTAGATCGGGATTAAAATGTTCAGAAAGTGGCAAAGCCAACTCTCCATGGAATGCACGCCTTCGACTCAATGTGGTTAGCCTCCCAGTCACTAGGTTTATTACTATATGGAAGTAGCTATTTTCAATGGATCTCCTGGACTAGGAATTCTGTCATTTGGAACTGGTCTAAATTATCCCGGTCTGGGAAATAAAACGGAGCAATTTTAAACAGATATTCGCTTTGTTAAACAAAGATACCCAGTCAGTTAAGCAGTTACTTACCAGTCTGTCGAACTCCTGGTTGATCTTTTGATTTTTCGGTGAGAGACCATCTTGTCCTGATTTTGAACTGTTCCTTGATTTTCGAATGCTCTGAGTTCTGTCGATGGAAGAATTGCACAAGCTGGAAGATATTGAGATACTGTTCTTGTACAGTCGCCCGAATACATGCTGCCTCTGTTCCTTCTCGCTGTTTTCTTTGTCGACTGGACTTGAAAAAATAAAATTTTGTAAAAAGCGGTTAGTGTGGTAGTCAACTGATTGGTCACGTCGGATGTCTGTCCAACGTCCAGTCTGGCTCCAAACCCTTTCCTTTATGTGCCTGGCTATCAAAAGGACGTAGCAAAGCCGTTGTAAAACCTGATTTCTATAAGTTTTCACTTGCTTGTTTATTCAGCGTCTTACTGGATTCAAAATATGGGCACAGTTCACTTCGCACTTTCATTTCATTTCGATGATGAAATTCTGTTGTACAAGTGTATTGTGTAGAACCTACAAACCAATCAGACCTTATCACCAAGCGTATGCCATCGTGCCACCCAAGGTGTTTTTGTCGGCAACATAGAACAATGAAGATTAGACGAGTTAGTCCTACCTCGAATGAACGCACACTCATAAACTAAGAAATGCTCATCTCTACGAGTCAGGCTCGAGTGGTTAGAGCGCGAATTTACTGACCGAAAGGTCCGTGGTTCGAACCCGACCTCTGCCTCTCGACTTCCCCTGCCTAGGCCTGGGCAATCTGGCAGTATTCCAGCCCTCATGCGGGCAGTATGGCATCTAGGCACCGGAAGGGTGTTACAGCTGAGCGATTTTTTTTCTACGAGTCAGGATGTGATGTGATGGGAACACGGCTGACTTTCTGAACCTGGAGGAATGCAGTGCTGTCATTCTTTCTTCCTCCGCAAGCACTGTATTCAACGCGCAGATCGGCTACCTTCGCCGTCAATTCTATCGGTAAAATAACAATATTGAACGAGTTTGACGTGGCCCCAATTCAGCAGCACTATACTATCTCCGGGCTAACAAGGCCAGACCATGTATATACTACAGTGTTAGCATTTGACAGTGAATCTGATAAATATGTTCTTATAGGGCAACAACTTCTTCAATGTTGCTCTTGATCCCTCATTTGCAACGAGAACTCAACAACCATTGACCTGACTTGACTCCAGGTATTCCAGCAACACTGCCACCCAAACCTCGGCGTTTCTTGTAGCATTAAGGCATAAGGTCATAGGTCAATTGGTTTGTCATCCATGAGATGCTCGTTTAACCGCCCGTGACCCATGTCGGCTAAAGCTCTGTCAATGACAAAATGTGACACCATCACTGGTGACAGGTTTATAATGACAACCGTGGTGCTTCATTTTAACTCACCCTGATGCAACATAGAAGTTAGAATCACCTGGGCAAATGGTATGCAAATACTTGGGAACTGTTGGTTCATGCATCGGTTGGTTGATATTGAACCGAACTGTCGGCTTGGGGGGATCCGCCTCTTTGTGATGCAACCACACAGTACCTTATATAAAACCGGACCCATTATTGAGATATATACATATATGTAAAGTGAGCAGGAGCGTTACCTGAATTCCTGTTTGGTTCTGAACCTAGGACGATCAAAATATTTGCTGTTTTCCAAGTGGTGAAATATTCACTCAAAAAAATCTAGGTTGCACTCCCCCCCCCGAAATATGAGAAGTATGCTTTCATGAAGGAAACTACTCACAAGGTTGTTGGAAACTCTTCAGTTGAGTCTCTCGTGAGAACCAAATTAATTTGCAAGCGAGTGTATTTCTCCAAAACAGTCCAAGTTGGGTTCAGGTAGAACATATGGTTGACAGAAACTTGGGGACTGCGCCTACGTGATGAGCCCCAAGAAGGGCGAAACCGGTCGTGGGCTGTCGAAGAGTTTTCAGCAACCTCGTGAGTAGTTTCCTTTATGAAAATATACTGTGATATCTCGAATATCGTCCCAACTGAATCTTGAGGCGGCCTGTGTGCAGCACATTCATTTGTAGAATATCATAGACGAGAGATTCAGTTGAGTCTCTCGTGAAAACCAAATTGATTTGCAAATGAGTGTATTTCTCGAGAAATATGCTTGTTTTATAAGTCAAACGTCGCACCCTAGAGTTCGTCGGCCTAAACAACAGTGAACTGCTTGGCTAGTACAGGTGGATCTGGGGGACTTTCCATTTCAGATTGAACACAACATTGATATGTCAATCGAGGCTGAATGGTTGAGTTTAGAATCTATTCAAAACTCCTCTCAGTGTTGATAAGACCTATCCATCTAATGGTTCACAACAGGTACGAAAGGAATTTATAATGTTTCGCAGTCTTCCAGTACGAAGGTGATTTACGTCATGGGATGAAATCGGGAAACATGAATATGGCTCATGTCATTCAAGCAAACTCAGGAATGTGCATACACCTAGCAGACGCACTTTCCTGTCTCAGAAAGATTCACTTGATAAACATGTTTCTAGAATTTAACCCACTAAGTATAAAGCGACCATCAGCAACAGCAGCTTGTGTAAGCCTGTGAATCGCATCATCGTTTCCGTAGTCAAGTCTGTCGGTTCAATTGTGCGACCAAATTTTGACAATGTGAACGCATCCTCGAACTCTTGAGGATGAAAACTCACCGAATATTTAGGAGCCGAAAGGTGTCTTTGAGTAGTCCCCGTTTGACTTTACGATCCAACTCCTGATCTCCATTGAAACTTGGGGATCTGTTCACTTCAATCAACCAAGGCTTTAATTCCGAATCCAACAAAATATCGAAACCAAGGATTTCGAAAAAATTCGATTGAATAAATCCCGTAGACTTGTCACGATTGGCTTCTGGACTCTTTTCGGATTTGGTTTTCAAATGGCCATTGTTCAGTTTGCGCCATCGAAGCTGCGGCGATCCAAAGTTGATCTGGAGTGGGCGTCGATCTCCGCTACAAGCCCGTTGTCCCGGAAGGCGACCGTGGCGACACATTCTATAGGAGTGCAACAAGTGTGGAGCTGCGATGGCCATCGTCTTCACAATCAGATCGCGTATATTTCGCCACACCGTATTCGGGTCTATTCGGCACGTGTGGCGAAGGTATTGGTCCAGAAATGTGAACGACCGCTTACTCCCATCCGTTTCACCTGGACTTTTGTCGTAACCTGCATTGCGCTTGTTCACTGCATAGTTTGTCAAATGCATATACACCGACTCCTGTTGAGGAGACAAGCAAAAGGGTAGTCTTCAGGTAAACTTATTTACCAGCGATTATGTAAATTGTTCTGAGGAAGCAAATCGGCTTGGTAGTGGAAATGAAGTTTTTACGGAAAACCACGATAGAACTCGCTCTTTGACTATCTACGCTAAACTTCTATGTATGATTCAAGCTAGCTCTAACAACGATCGATTCTACAAACATTCTATGGATTGTGATGCATCCCCACTTTCTATCTGAACTGCTGCTGCCGAGATCGCACGAAATATGAACTGATTCCCTCAATCAAAGAGGTCACAATGAGTGATTTCTAACAGATGGGAAGAAATGAGCTCAATAAAATAGTGATTTTGACTCGAAAACAAGAACCTAACGAAAAACTACATGCCATTTAGGGTGTGAGAAAATCGGAGATGAGAAAGAACCATGCCAAAGCACTAGAAAAGATGACTGAACGATCAGAAGGATGTCATATCCCCCGTGTTGGACAACTTAACTGGGAAAAACACCTTCGATAAACTGTTCGTCGGAACATACGATGAGGATTGTCAAGATGTAAAACGACTTGAAGAACCAATTCTCAAGATGACATACCAATGATCTTAATGTGATTAGACAGAACTCTTAAACAAACAAGCAGCAGAACTATCCAAAGAGGAAGCCCATTCAAACTCGGTTGATATTTTTGTTCAAAGGATAAACGAAGGAATTTTTCATATAACAAAACAGATAGCTTACATCCGATCTTTTACATAGTTTTAAAGCATTCCATTATTGAGTAGAACGTGGAAGTTAGACCATTTGACAGAAAGAGTGAAATTACTTTTGCTGCAGGATTCGACTTCAGAATTCGGTGGACTACATCGGAAGGTCTCAGAAACATGGAACTAGTCGAGAATGGATATTGTAGCAGATCTTCAGAGTTCAGATTGACCCATCGCGCATTTTTTCAACCGACCCTCCCACGCACTGGTTTCTCTGAAATCCACCAAAGATTTGGAATCCTAGAACGTTGTGTTCTGCGTCTGTGGACGGTAATTTGGGTTGACTGTCGTTATACTTTTAAGCCTGAGAAACTTTAGATAATGACGTGTTACAATATTCCAGCAACAGCTAAGCGAAAAAGCAATACCACTCTCAGATGTGCAAAATCACACTTTCCAGTCTTTTGACTCACCCCGCTGGGTTCCGACGGAGACACGTATTTTTCTGTTCCAAGCCGAACCAGACCTTCGTTGTAAATGAAAATTCTTAGCGGATCACAAGATGTGAGCAAAACGTAGACACGCAGGTCACACTTGAAGCCATCAATTAGGAGTGGATTGTTTATGTACTCCTGTACAACGCAAGGTGTCCCATCCAACGAAACTGTCGGTATGCTATCTCCCGCTCGAAACATTCGGATTCTGTTGGTGGTGGAAATTCATGTTGGACTATCGGATAGTATGGAATTCAGACTAAACAATCGGTTGCCGATAAATCACTGTAGCAGCACTAAAATCCAAATTCATTGTCTACTCTTATTCCGCGCAGGATTGAACTATTTGAAAATTGGTAAATATGTAGCGCAAAGAGAAAAGTGTTTCACAGCGCTCTGGGCGCAGTTTCCGTTTACTCACCCCAGAAACCACGTGTCCATGAGACACAGAAGTTGCCTTTGTGAACCAGAAATGCTAGTTTTTGCAGGTTAAATAGAAAGCCCTCTGGAAAAGGTGAATTTCTTTTATTGACTACATATCTCGTCGACATCAAACGATGGTTGTAGTATACATTCGAGTCTTGCACACTTTACTTGATGATGTGACCGCTGAACCATCTGCAGAGGTAGTAGATATCGAGTTGTCGTACAGTACTCAAATCCCATCACATTTTTCCCTCCTGCATTTTACAGTTTCACATGTGTCCGGGACCTACGTGCGACAGTGGTCTAGCATGGTTGAAACCAAACACACCGTTTTTTTTCAGTTTGCAGTTGGTCGCATACGCCTCGATGTTCATTCTGCCATTGAATAATACAACTCTGGAAAATCCGGGAACGTTATCGATGCCATTAGTTTCTACCGTGCTCCAATCAACCATATTTCACATCCGGAATCATTCGACGTTCTTTGGTCTCCAGATTCTTATCACAACACGCCTTTGCTGATCAAATAATCGATCGCCGTGTGCTGTATAAGCGTCAACTTGAGAATAAAGGATAACGTCCTTCCAGGTTTCAGTTTTTATCTGGATGGAGCAAGTACCCTCACAAATCATATGGTGAAAAATAGTTATTCAAACGAGACCTAAAAAGGGAGATTTGGCGAAACGAAACCGTTCTACGATGAAAAAGTAATCATAGAGTATCATGCCGAAAAGTGTGGCTCCGAAGGATGACTGTCAGGTCGTCAGGCAGATGAGATAAAGTGAAGCATACCCTGGTGCTGTCGCGTTTAGACGCATACCGAGGCTGCTTGACGGTCACTGTGGAAGACAACCGTTTCCAATAAGGTGGATTGGAAATTTTAACGAGTACAGGCATTCGCAAGTCTCCAAACCAAGGTGTCTTTCAGGTGCCGGGGTTCAAATTCCGGCGCAGCGATTGGATATGCACTGCTGATGAGCTCTAATAAGAACGAAACTCGAGTCCGGTACTTCCCTTTGGTGTGAACTCACCGGATTAACTACGCCAGAGCAGGAGGACGACTGTTCAAACGAGAGTGGTGTGACTATGAATAAGAGAATGTGGCCGGATGCTGGTAAGAGTATATTGCCGCAGTTCGCTGAAAATGAAAAAACATCGTGCCCACTGAAACATGAGGCGGCATGTGGGCAGCACATTCAGTTGTAGAATATCATAAACGAGAGATTCAAGTAAGTCTCTCATGAAAACCAAATTGATTTACAACTGATAATAAGGACTAGTTAGGTCTGAAACTCTTCCCATAAAAACTTGACCTCGAGCTTAATGGACGGCTTCGCCAGCATGTTCATGTTGTGTCATCTCAAGATACTTCAAGCAAAGGGTTTGTTGGGTATAAATGGGTCTTCTATAGATGAGAGAGTCGCAGTGTCCACGTCAGCCCGACACACATAAGCTACTGGGTGCATTTGGATGGGCTAACCTGCAGCACGGTGTCATCTGCATACTTTGTCATGGTGCAATTTTAGTGAAGCTTTAAACAGTTCGTGTAAGTCTGAATGAAAACGATGAAAACACATCAAACTCGTTGGCGGGAGACTTTGACGGCTTTCTGCCAATCTGAACGTACTAGTTTTGTACGTGCTGTGGGTTACGTTATGCACGAACAGCATGGATCTTTCGGTACCCGTCCCAAAAAGCTTACGTAGCAGAGGTTTTCGACTGACTGAAGCAAAGGCATCACTAAATTTTATGAAACAGACCAGGACACACTTAGTTCTGACGCCTAAAACCTTTAGGCCACACTGTGGAAGAGCTAAGCTTCTTGGACGCTAATTGATGCGTACCACAGGAGGCAATCAGTGTACAATTTATGACGAAAACACGCCGTCGACAGAGCACCTTCAGTAAAACAGAAGTGAAATAAAAGCCGGACGGATTTCTGCCGAGGTGCCAGGCTGATAGGTTGTAGCTGCTGGAGTCATTCCAGCAGATCTGCAGTCGTCGGCAGCAGAGTTCCTCTAAGACACCACTGAACGTAGATTTCTTAAGCACTGCACTTTACCTCGAGTGCAGGCACCTTATACAAACCATGAACCTTAGTTCAAGATAAACATCCGCGGAGAGCGTTGTTGGTTGAGCCATGTGAATGCATCCAATCGAATTGTATCATGAACTTTTATAACACAGGTGCCGTTGGATTCAACGACATTTGAGACAGTCGAGGCATACTTCTTTTTCTTGCAGGAAACACTTTCTTCGCCCCCAGTCTAGTGTTCCCACCACATGACGTTCCTGCTAATCTGGACATGTCTGCCTCAATACAACACGGTGTTATTCGCGGATATTTCCTGGATACTTTTTGAGCTATTTGAGTTTCTTAGGTGTAGCTCAGGTGAAAACGCCTGGATCCCTATGCAGGGTATCCCATGTACAACACAACTCCTGACAGTACCACACCGATTTCAGAAAAAAACTGACAACTTGGTTTCCCTAATGTTAACCAGTTTTCTGTATTGTTCCCAGGATGGAATAAGGCCCATGAAACTTCTGGACTGCAGAAGACTCACTGCCTTGTTGAGATAAGACGGAGTGAGGCAAACACAGACAGGAATATTGAAGCAAGTCACAGCAGGTTTCCAAACTAACAATGTGGAAACCTTCCGCAAGGTCGAAATTCGGATAAATTGATCTCGACGGCACTCAGATTCCACCAGAAACCTTTTTAACCGGGTCAATAAGGCCATTTGTGCAGAGCAGTTTCGAAGGGCAACGAATGTTAAAGTTTGACTTGAGATCAAGTCATTACTTCGCACTCACCCATGTCCCATAGCGCCATTTGCTGGCTTCATAATGAAATTCGGTTTTTCCCCTTGACTGATTGCTTTTTCAATGTAATTGAGCAGAAAACCATGTTCTTGTGGCAGTATCCACGTCTTTGGAACAAAGCTGTACTCTGTCGGCTCCAATCGATTCATTCTAAACAGATATAGGTAGAAAAATGGAGTAAGCGAAGCCCTGAGATACCGAGCATGTAGACACACCAAAGTTCTGTATTTTTTACATGAAACGCATGCACTTATAGAAGAAAAATTCAGACAAACAAGTTGGTTTAACGCGACATGGAGTAGTGAATATAGTACGAGGTGTGAAGTAGTTGCACGGCCATGCGAAATTATCGGTCAGTTTGTTGAAGTAAACACTGGCCAAAATCAGCACGGTTTGTAAAATTAGGACATGGCCTTTGGTGTAGTAACTGCAACATATGTTGACATGACTCCTCTTTATTCCTTTGCGATATTACTATATCACTTTTTATAGTTTTGTTTGTTTTTTACCGGCTATCGGTAAGGTTCGCATCAAGCGTGAACCAACCTACAACCGTGGAAATTTGCCATAAAAGCCGGGTTTTACCATTATAAAAATGTGAAGAGTAGCATCGATCTGGTTTATCATATCCTTATATTAAATATGACTGACCAAACAATGCGATAGTGCCAAGTAAAATTTTGTTCTCGATCAAGAATAATCGAGCAGGTTCAGAAGCCGGCCAGGAAAGTGTGAAAATTCACCATGCCATTGCGGTGGACAGCGAGAATAAGAGCAGCATTTGTTAACCTGTAGTAAACCTCATAGACATAGGCAAATTTTTAACGAGTACTTCAAATAGCTTAGTTGTGGACAAAACTGGGTTTTGTTCTGAATACGTGAGTCTCGTGACGAAGGTGTGATCCCAACTAGTGAAAAGCAGGCACGTTGGTTTGTTCATCTGTAGCACATATGGTGACGTTCGATATAATCGGACTTTCATCATCATCATCATCATCGACAGCATAACATCAGTGTTCAACACCGATGCTTCACTGCCATACAACCATGATTTATTTGAAAGCCTCATTATAAAGAAAAGAATAAATGTGGACGGGGAAGGGGCTTAGTGCTAGCCTACCACCTCCAGACACTCACTCAGGCGATCTGGATAGAAACTGAAAACAAAAACGCCACTGACATCGGTTGGCAGCCATATCCTGTAGTGTCTCCAACCAGGCGCAGTGAGAATCACGCGGCCCCCATCCTGGAAGGCGAGTAGCACCGACAGCACCCAAGCGTTTTGTGATCTCCTTCATACTCCTCTGCCGAGGCAAATGGTGGCCACCTCTCTGTTTACGATACTCTGAGTTGGGCATGGAAAAAAGTACCCTTTTCGGCAAACGATGTTCGGCATACGCAACACATGTCCCAACTAACGCAGCTTCTGATGCTGGACACATTCCTTTATAGAAGTACCCGTTGCACACGTTGTATGTATTAATCGAGGAATTTGTTCCAATGCGCAAAAGGTATATCCATTCCTACACATGAGCCAATGATGATCGTCTGTTTTACATGAATAAAACTGTCTGCCTCCACCAGCCTCATTTGGGAACGGTATCAACTCGTGGACGGTTTTAAACCTTTGTTACGCTTCATTTAAGCTTATTAGCACCAATTACTAAAAGCGCACCTTTTGAAACGCGAAACGGTCAATAGCAAAGGCAGCTATAATTTAATAAGGCAAAACAAAATCATCTGAAAATGACACTGAAAACAGAGTGAAGTAATCAAGCAGTAATATTTGTGGGGTGGCAAATGCAAAACTGACGTCCTTGAAACTGAGTCGCTTCGTGAATCCAACTGGGAATTGGTACACTAGACGGCGCCAGAAATTGGTATTTAACTGGCCTGCTGCTGTCAGGAAAGCTTCCTCTCGTTACCATGTTTAGCGTCATTCTAACGGACAGCGCGAGAGGAAAATTAGTACAACCACGTCAGACATAGTTACAATAAATATCGGAGGTACTCACGCCTATGACAATTAGCCATCCAACCTGCACAGGAACTGACAGCATCAGCGTCATCGACACCGGTTAGCCTCTATCCAAGTAACTGAAAGTTTGCTTTGGCCTAGTCTGGCAGACAAACATGAGCAATAACCAGACAGTTCATAACAGTTTTACATCTTACATCCGAGTCATATTATGCCCATAGCTGGGTTGCCACATAATTGCACGAAAAACGATGCTATTCTTTGCAGGCGGTAACTCGTCGGTGTATCACATTTCCCAGAAACCTCAACTTTCAGTGCTGAATGCATTCTTTGAATGAGAGGCCTGAAGACATCTCGGGTTTTCAGCCCAAACTGGCGAAGTCACGTGGTCGTAAAACAATACGGCTCGTACCATAGCCGGATATACCCGCCCTTTGAGACCATCTTGATGTTACAAGTGCCATGAATCGACAGATCCAATCCTGACTTCGCCATCACACTAACACCATAGCTAGTGCAACTCCAGAGTGGTAGATATCGAGATTGCATATGGGCTGGGACACTGCCAGGCCACCTCGACCTGGACTGGAGAACGACTAGGGCTCTCGGCCAAAGCCTTTGGCTCAAAAACCTGACAGCAAGGCAAAGACATCTGGTGAGAAATGCGAATGCATGAACACTTCTAAGAACAAATCACCACGAATGTTCCAACCCCCAGGAGGGCCAGGAGACTGCGTTGCTCAGACTAGTAATAGTTGCCCGACTCTTCGCTGTAGCTCAGTAGAAAATAAACCGCCACATTAATGAAGACGACATCGCTGTCCATTCTTGGAAGTGAGCAAAAAGCGGAACTACTATCAGAAATGCACACCAAGGCCGTCCAAACCTCCGGAAACTAATGTATATGTTAGTTCAACAACCACACTTGGGTCTTGATACCTCGCTTCAGACAGATAGCACACCAACTGAAGACGAGTCAACCATATGTATACAAGCAATTTCCCGTCCGTATTGACGTTTAAGGAATGATTTCCAAGTGTCTGCGATCATACTGGCCCAGATGAACATAAACATTGCAGCTGATGGTAACATAAAGCGAACGGATTTTTCAACCAGTTAGGTTAGAAAAGGGTGAAATAACGAATGTACGCAATGGAAGTATTATAACTGACAAACAGATTCTTTATTTTCACTGTACTATCCTGGGGTAACAATTGACCCTCTGCTAGGCAGCCACTTCAAGCGAGCATCACACCACTGGCAGGCCGACAAGACTGTCGACCCGAATGGATTAACTAATTAATTATCTTCGTCGTCCGGTTGCAGGACATTGTGCCGTGTTATAAAGATGCTATTAAAGACAATTTTAGCAGTTCTGCAATATTAAAATCCATGAATTCGAGCCCCATCATTGTCCGTTTGACGCTCTGGTTCTTTGCCCTGTTTTGACTTCTAGATTGCTCCATTGCGAGAGAAAGTTGGTGAGTAGGAAGACGACAAATATATAGTAAATCAAAAACCGTAAGCGGTACAGATTTAAAAAAGCAAATAACTATATTAAGCGTGGTATGTGAGAAGATTACGCAAGTTCAGCATCGCTGTTTGGATAATGAAGCTTGCTGTAACCAGTGGTATCCGAATATGCGGTACCGCGAGCCATTTACACCTATTTAGCTATATTGTTCATACTGTCAAAGACTGTCTCGGAAAATAACGAAACTTTACGAACTCTGGTCAGGTGGCCAAAAGGTTAGAAATTCGCTACTTCTAGAGTGCTCCATATTTCCAACACTATGCAGTAACCCGAAGTTCGTGCAATTCAAAATTCGGTGTTTATCGGAAATACTTTCTATCTCCCGCAAGGAAAGTCAGCCTATACTGAAAAATGAAGAAGCACGACTAACGGTTGATTGTTTCAGTGCTTGGAAGCGACAAACGATCCACTAACTCAAAAAACTGAAATTCATACCTTTCCAGATAGTAGTCTGAAAATTAGCATCCAGCTAGGACTGATTTTCACATACACGTGACAAGTTTTACTTATAACTGTGCCCTTAATTTACGTAATCTTAGTAAACACTGACTGATTTATCGAGTTCTTGTGTTAATTTTTACGTTGGCTGAAAACCAGGTGCGTCAAATCCGGATTGTCATGTTGCTGATCGTCTTCCCGTTAATGAACGTGAGGCTGTGTAAAGGTTTAGGTAGCTATTTTGAGATGTGACCTATTTGTAAAATTCACTGTAAACCCCGCCAATATCTGAAAAGAGTTGAATCGGCAAACAAAACGTACTGGCGACAATGAAAAACTTTCTAGAAAATCTATAGCTCTTATAAAATCCTATAAAGTAAAGGAACAAGAATAGGTCTCCTGAAGCTGATGCAGGAATGTTCAGAATCCCGGCACACTGCACAGTGTGTACTCCCTCCACAAAGCAAAAATTCATTTCATGGGAAAGCCAATGGATTGCGTAGCTCTATCCACAGCACCCGGGCTTTGAAATCCACCTGAGGTTAAGGTACGTCCGTGACAATGATTTGTAAATCAGACTGTTGCCACCTGAGGGGCCTACTAGTCTTCGAACGCGTACATTCTCGCCAATCCGCCTACTGACCACTTGTTACAAAAAAATGCCACCTATTGACCGTAACTTTCTTGCGTCCAGGGTGTCCCCGACAAGTCTGGCGAAATCTACCCTCCTAAGATTGCCTTTGATAAATCTGAATCGAGGCTGTCACGCAAGATAGGTTGTGATTTTCTTTCACTAAGACTGAGGTGTGAAAGGGACTGCTAAATTAAGCAACTTACACCCTTTCTACCTATTGACGACAGACCAAATGATAAATCAGGTAGATTTGCTTGCACGACACTGACTACGTTAGTTTAGCAGCAGCTAAAAAGCGAGGTGATATCACAGTTAAATCCAGAATGATGCAAGGTAGAAAATGCAGGGAGCGATTATGTACCCCTTCCATATGAAACCTCAGCCTATTTATGTCACCCAAAATCCTGTCGATTCTGTTCAACGTCCACATAGGCTTTCAACATCTATTCACCTGAGATGGTTACATTCAACCTGCTTGACTATCTCCTCATTGGGGAAACCCAGGGCCGACAAAGGAACGTACCTGTCAGCAGTTTTTCACCATCAGAAATAGCTCATTGCCTCCTTCGCAGCGCGAAATAAAAAATGAACGACGCGCAGTCCGGAGCTTCCATCCAGTGCAGGTAATCGAAAATTCATGTCAAACTGTTCTATGATCACCTGGTGAGTGTCCACAAGTCTTTAGTTGGAGCCAATGGGGCGAATCGAGTTTCGCTGCCGACTATTACGTACCTGATCTTTTCCCGAAGACCTTATCGTGAGAACCCACGGCAATACAATATAAAAGCAGGGACTGATCGTTTTTGGGTAACCCGTGAAATACATGAAACCAGCATAAGTGGAAAGGAAAAACAGCAAAAGTTAGGACAGGAAAAGTTCTATTCGTCTTTCATTTGTCTCGTAAGAGAGATATGAAGAATGAATAGAACCTTCAATTCATATGTGATGCATTCCTTATATGTGCATTTCTTTTTAGACATAAAACGCAATTGTCTCTCTGGTTCCCATGCGATACCTTGGGGACTTCTGTATTCCGATTCTAAACTTACCGAATAAAGTTCTTCGCCAAGAAGTCTTTTCTACATATTTCTACCATCCCCGGAAAATGATTGATGCGTTGGTAAGGCTTAAGGCGCATAATCTTCTCAAAAGGAAGGAAGCTGTCGGTCCACACTAGAAACCTAGATGTTACTTAAGCATATTTCCATGTAGATTTACCTACGCGTCCGATAAATCGTCCTCGTCCTTAACGGAGAATCCGGCGTCTATCACAGCTCTTCTAACTACATTTTGTCTTATTTCAAGAATGAATTCACCTAGTTCATATTTTGAATACCCCAGATTTGCTATGATGCCAAATTTCCTGCGCTCACGGATTTGCTTCGTATCTTTCTCGTCATCATTACTGCATTTTCTTCCGTGCTGCCTCGGATTCCCCTTCAGATATTTCAGCACTTGATCTAAACCGAGTTCAATAAAGATATCAAATATACCTTGATCAATCATTCGATGAATTTTCACATGACGCAAGTTTAAAGGTTGCCAAGACATTCAGTTCAAGGTCAAAGTAGCACGAAAATTTCAATTTCAGGACATCGATAGGAGGGAGGTTCGAAAAGTGAAGTGAGGTATCTAGGGGCCATCCAGCCTTTTTATCAGGAAATAGATGCGTTTAAGGACTGAAACGAATGCAGTCTCGAAAATAAACACATAAACCTTCCCATTTTTTTCGCACCAATTCAATTTTCGATTCTTTACGCATGTGGTGCTCACGGATTCACGGATTCATTGATTGATACACAGGACAGGATTGACACACACGGACATGGAAACAATCACGATGGCAGGCGATAGATGCTTTCTACAACTAACCCACGCTTCGGAGAGCGGCAGCAGTTGGGTCCCGGAAAGCTAAACTTCTGCATAAGAAGCGGAAAATAATGTCACTTAATAATAATGATAATGTTTGCTCCCAATTGGTGTGTGGCACACCATTAGGCATCAGCACAATTTTACAGTCAAAATAAAGACATGATTAGATGGTTTTGTGAGCACGAGGGAATGTACGGAATACTGACCGTGTTTTAAACCATTGGCGTTATCCGATGTAGGCATGGTCATCCCCGAACCTGCATGTGCTTTATTCGGGGGCATATAAAGCTTGATGACGGTCAGATCGTTGGAATTTGAAGGCGGCGGGCAAAAAACATTGGGGAAGGGCACCCCGCGTGGCAAATAAAAATGGAAGTGCGAATTGCGGAAAGTGGGAAACCAGAACAGCGAACCCGGAGATGTATCATAGTTGGCGTAATCGAACCTGTCGATTTGAACCCAAACCCAAAACCACCGCCGTGCCCTTTTGGCCTTGGACTATTGGGCTTACAGCCGGGATTACAAAAATTGTAGGTAGGGGTGATGAAATGGAGGGATTAGTAGTCTGTGAAACTGCAGCATCTCACTGGTGTCATTCGTGTGGTGTAGTCGGATGTAGAAGTTCCTTGGCAAAATCGGTTTATGACAACACATAAGCCAGAACGCGGACTGTAATAAAAATGATTGACACTGTGTAGACCACAGACCGAAAGTCCACCAAAATGGTTAAATCTGAACGAAATTTTCAGCTGATTAGAGTGGACTTGTCCTGGTGGTAGCTTGGTCTAAGAGAAGTGTTTGTTCGTATTTGCTGTTAACAGAATGATTGGACGGGAGGGTACGGTCAAGAACAGGAAGATAATGGGTGTGGCAGCTTGTGAGTTTGGCAGTGCCGTGACAACATTGGCTTCACATACTTCGGATTTTGGGCAGTCTCGTAGTAGACGTTGTCTCAGGGTTTTTGTTGGGGATGCGTAATTTTATGAGCGGCGGGTTTTACTCAGGTTACCCAAGGAAATCCGACAAGAAGACCGAAACCGACGTGAGATCGCAGGAACTTTCTGGTCTTGTTGGGAACAATCGGGATGAGGTCCGACTCGTTCAAAGACATAACCACCTGGCATGAACTAAAGCTGAAAACCATTGCTGGCCATGAGTAACCTTGAGCGGTTAGGTAAATGGCCGGAGTCACGAAGAGCAAAAGTGGAGATGGAGATGGAATAATTCAAACTGGGAGCACATGACGAGTTTCGTTCGGAAACGTGGTTTAATCTGAAACTAAGTAAACTCACTGGTTGCACAGTCGTAGGGAAATGAGGTGCAGAGGATAGGTTGGATGGGGGCGTGTTGCTAATATATAGGCGACCCGAACACCGTATACGGACTTGAAGCAGAAAAACCGGGCTAACCATATCTGAGCAAGGATTCATCGGGCACGGAAGAGCTTGTCCCAGAGACGGGGACGAATGAAAAATTTGCTCGTAGTTGTGACTACAGGCTTCAGTGGGCGAGGGGTTGCGGTCGATATTCTGGGGAAAATAGTTGCGGAATGCCATCTCACTGTGTATGGCAGTGCCATGCCATCATAGCACTGACATGCTTCGGTTAATGTACAGCCCCGTAACGGTCGCCAAGGGTGCCGCGATCGGAGAAGAGACGCAGTTCCGTGGCAGATGGTTCCGGGTGATACGGAGATTGACACAGATGGCCATACAGTTGTAGGCTCACGGATAATTTCCCTTTCGTTGGACGACCGCGTGAATGTAGACCGGGTGCTAGCCAGTTCGAAGGAATAACAGTCCTGCGGGGCGTTTGGGCAACCGCAGTCGAGGTTTGAAGCTTGGGAAAAGGGGAAACGCGAAAGAAATGGAATGAAAGCAGTAGCGTGTGGTGAGTGTTAGGAGGCAGTAGGTACAACGGCGTCAATGGAAAAAAATCTAAAAGGAGATGACAGCAGGCTAAATGGACCCAAGAAGGTTGAATAAGTTTTCTGATCTAGAAACCAAGTATTGGTTGGGCCAGAGTAGATGCACAATTTTAGGGAGGTAAGAACTTTGTCATCCAGGTAGCTAGCAGAGAGGCTAGTGGTTGGACTAGTTGAGAATAGGTGGTATTTTCAGGCTCACCAAAGCATCGTGACATGGGGTTTTGTGCAGAAAGTGGGGTTAATGTGAGCAGTGACAGCAGAGAAGTAAAAAGTGGACAAGCATCCCAGATATTTATGAGAATCGTAGATTAACTGAGGTCTACTACGTCAACCTAACAGGAAAGTAGTAGTATGGATCACCAGTCGCCGAATCACTGCTGCCAACCCCAGAAAACGAATGGTGCATGGCAAAAAAGCCAATAATTGCTAGCTGTGACTGCTATTCAGGAAATGTTAAGTTGTTACCATTTGGTGTGTTGATTGTTCTAGATGACAACAGGGAAGAACATGTGTAGGGAGGTAAGAACTTTGTCATCCAGGTAGCTAGCAGAGAGGCTAGCGGTTGGACTAATTGAGAATAGGTGGTATTTTCAGGCTCACCAAAGCATCGTGACATGGGGTTTTGTGCAGAAAGTGGGGTTAATGTGAGCAGTGACAGCAGAGAAGTAAAAAGCGGACAAGCATCCCAGATATTTACGAGAATCGTAGATTAATTGAGGTCTACTACGTCAACCTAACAGGAAAGTAGTAGTATGGATCACCAGTCGCCGAATCACTGCTGCCAACTCCAGAAAACGAATGGTGCATGGCAAGAAAGCCAATAATTGCTAGCTGTGACTGCTATTCAGGAAATGTTAAGTTGTTACCATTTAGTGTGTTGATTGTTCTAGATGACAACAGGGAAGAACATGTGTGCTATGTTTGGATGACGTGGACTTGGGGTTGTACGACCCAGCCAAAACGAGAGTGGCAAATTATTGCACGTCGACTTCAGCCGTGAGCCTCACATAGTACCCTCAGACTGCCTCATACATAATTGTTTTTATTATTTTTTCAGAACAAACGGAAAGAAAGTTGTCATTTGGTGATATTTCTTGGTGTTGTGAGACAAGGGACGACCGAAACAAGGCCAATCGAGCTACAGGCAAACAGCAACGGTGGTCTTTTTCGGTTTTCCTGAATAAAAGGCCCGGCTCAAAACCACCGGTGATGGGCGATATACCCGTGCTACTGAGGGGGTGGCCAATATACGAACGCACCAGGGTACAACGTAACCGGGCGACCCTTTCTGCGGGGCGTACCCGTCCACCACACGATGTTTGTGCATTAATAAATAACTCCAGATACAATATATATATTATCCGGTATGGAAGAAAGCCAGGCCAGTAAAACAGCTCAGTCATTTCGAGCAGGCAAACAGCAAACAGCCACTGGAAGAGGAAGCCGCGGAAGCAAATGAAACAGCAACTACCTTTTGTGCCATGGGAATAGAATGGAGATGTTCAGAGACGGTGTACTATGGCTAAACGAAGACGAATCACTGGTGTGAACCGCCTTGTCAATTAGACTCGCACCAGTGTTATGCGTGTGTATGGATGAGTCGGCTGCGGGGCCACGCAAGCATCTTATTCACAGCGCATCTTCGGACCCACCGTTTGATATACGTGCGTTGCGTGTGTTCGGGGATGCAGAATAGTTAAGAACAGCGAGGAGCTTAGTTTCCAGTTTAGTTGTGGTTAGTTAAATCTGGTCAAAACAAAGCACCAGACATCAAACAGAGCTGACAGAGTTACTCAGGGATAAAACCAGGCTTGAAGAACTAGGGATAATTTAGCTGGGTACAAGAGCTTAAGACCGGAGGAAGGAAATACAACCAGGTAAATGGAGACGGGCTTGACGACAATTACGCTCCACGGATTCACGTGTTCATTGATCGATAAACGGGATCGAGGCTATTGCCCAAGATTCCAGTGGCGGTTTCGTTCTCGTCGGTCAGTGGCTGTCGTTCACATGAAAGGCATAAGTGAAAAAAGGTGTAGTACTGTTATTTATGTTCTCAACGCAGTGCATTATGCTTGCCAGCGCGAGAATTCACATAAATATGTGTCTAATAGTGCTTTCAACTGGGTTCTAGAAGGATAGTGGACGACCGCTTGAGGAAGGCCAATCCACGCACCTACTACCCGAAGTGAGAGAAAATTTTCTTTAATGAATGTGTGTGCTCTGATCTTCAAAAATTTCTCACTATGTCCCAGCCTGGTGTTTGCTGGGTCAACGGTAAAAAAAATGTTTGCCAAGTTTTGTTCAAACAGGGCATAAATAAGAATTAGGTCCCGTGGGAGGAGACGGTACTCCAGTAGAAAGAGATTTAGCATCGCGAGACGCGTTCATAGTCCACGGATTTGAGGCCGACAACCATTCTCGTAGTGGCTCACTGGACACTCACCCGGGTGACCACCTTCGTGCATCCTAAGTAGACAACTTGATTGGCATACTCCAGGGGCAGTCTGAAGTAGGCTTCAGAGAGTATTTGGAAGTCCATATGAGTAATACGGGAGAAGGTGCGTCGGATCATCCATGGAATGGCGAATGCCTTTTGGGCCGGTTTCTCATAGTGCAGTGAAAAGGACAAGTTTGAGGAGACCCAGATTACCCAAATCCTTTTGCAATCCATCCGCATGATGTTTTCTGGTCCTTTTTTATTATGCATAACAAAGGCATACGCTGAGTCTTCTCCAAGTGACATATGGAC